CCCTGCCTGAGCCCCGGCGCTCCCCACAGACACCGAGATCGACTGGAAGGCCTACATGGAGGAGGTGGAGGGGTTTGCCAACGGGACCCTCGACTACACCCAGCTGAAGGGCGACACCGGGCCGCTGGTGTGAGTGACGGGGACGGACAAGCTCCCTGTGACCGGGGGCTCCTGGGGGGTCCCAGGGCCTGGCCCCTCACTCCCGTCTCTCCGCAGCTACCCCGCCGGCTTCGTCTACATCTTCCTGGGGCTGTACTACGCCACGGGCCGCGGCACCGACGTCCGCCTGGCCCAGTACCTCTTCGCTGGCCTCTACCTCCTCAACCTTCTCCTCGTCTTCCGCATCTACTGCCGAACCAACAAGGTAGCCCGGAGCCAGGGGGACTCGCTGGCTGCCTCGGGGCCTCTCCTGCTCTGCTGAGTCCTCACCGGGGCCAAACGGGCTGGGGTCTGAGGTTTGGAGGGGCTCAGTGGCAGTGAGGGGGTCCGGGACAGGCTGCTGATTGCCCTCGTGTCTCTCCGTCCCCTGCAAGGTCCCCCCGTATGTTTTTTTCTTCATGTGCTGCGCCTCCTACCGCATCCACTCCATCTTTGTCCTGCGGCTCTTTAACGACCCTGTCGCCATGGCCATCCTCTTCCTTGCCATCAACCTCTTCCTGGAGGAACGCTGGTCCTGGGGCTGCCTTCTCTTCAGGTGAGGGTCTGCGGGCAGGGTGGGGGCTGCTCTCCATGGTGTCCTGCCTGTGTGAGCGAGCTCGGCTCCTGGGCACCCGTGTGGGGGGCCGCAGCGGTAACACAGCTTCCCACTCAGCCTGGCTGTGTCTGTGAAGATGAACATCCTGCTCTTCGCGCCCGGACTTCTCTTCCTCCTCCTCCAACGGTTTGGTCTCCTGGGCTGTATCCCCAAGCTCTGCATCTGTGCCCTGCTCCAGGTGGGTCCCTGCTCATATCAGCTACCAGGGGCAGGCTGGCAGCCCCATCGGCAGGGGGTAGTGGGCTGCCCTGCCTGCATCGCAGCATCCTGCCTGGCTGTCCTGGGGGCTGGAGACCTCTGGGTGGATATACAGTGGTACCAACATCTGAGTTGGCCCCGCGCAACAAGCTGGAGGTTGATAAATGATCTAATTCATGGGGCTCCCATCTTTGGCTGACTGTCCCTGCCGCCCCATGCGGTACTGGCGTTCTCGGGAGGTGGCAAGGGTGGCGGGGACCTGGCTTACGGCTGCTGCGAAGGTGCTGGTGTGTCTCCGGCAGGTGATTCTGGGGCTGCCCTTCCTGCTGGTGAACCCTGTGGGATACCTGACTCGCTCCTTTGACCTGGGCCGCCAGTTCCAGTTCAAATGGACGGTGAATTGGCGCTTCCTCCCAGAAGAGGTTTTCCAGAATCGGGCTTTCCACGCTGCGCTGCTTCTGGCTCACCTGGCTGGCCTGGGGCTCTTTGCACTGCACCGGTGGCACAGGTGAGACCCAGGATTCCCCATGGGTGCTGGTCCCTGGCAGCCGATGCCCATCAGCCCCCGTGATGCAGGATATGGGGTCCATGACCCCCCCTGTCCCCACAGTGCTGCAATTCTGCAGTTGCAGGCAGAAGTCGGGGGGAAGTTACTGTTCTGTTTCGGGGCGTGCACTGCTCAAGCATGGCTCACAGGGGAAGGTCGGGGTGGAAGAGGCTTTCAGCAGCTGAGATCGATGTTTGTGCTTCCCCCTCAGGTCCAAAGAGAGCATCCTGGCTGTGCTG